GCAGCGCGGCGCGCGCGAGGGGCGCGCCGGCGACGGCGCAGTCCGCGTCGCCGCCGCACTCGAAGGCCGCGCCGGGGGGCGGCGCGAGCGCGAACGCGCGCGCCGCGGCGTCGACGGCGCCCGCGCCGCGGCGGCCGAGGGCCGCGGCGGCCCACGCGGCGACGACGCCGGGCAGCGACACGCGCACGGCGTCGCGCAGCGCTTCGGGGCCCGCGGCGCGCGCCCAGGCGACGTAGGCGTAGGGCGCCGCGTCCGTCGGCGGCCGCGCGGACCGCGCGCAGAGCCCCGCCGCGAGCCGCTCGAGCCGCGGCCCGAGGTCGCCGCCCGCGGCCCGCCCCGCGTCGGCGTCCGCGAGCAGGGCGACGACGGCGCACTCGTCGCGGGCCAGGGACGGGTCCCAGAGCTGGCAGCACTGGAGCGCGGCCCAGCCGTCGAGCGCCGTCGGGCCGCCCGCGCCGTCGTCGTCCGCGGCCCAGAGCACGATCGAGCGGTCCGCGCCGTCGTCGTCCATCGCGGCGGCGGGGTCGTCGCCGTCGCCGTCGCCGTCGCCGGGGCTCAGGTCCACGGCGCGGTCCGCCCAGGCCTCGGCCGCGGCGCGCCGCGCGGCCGCCCACCGCGCGGCCAATCGGCCGAAGACGGCGGCCGCGGGGAACGGCCGGCCCGCCGCGCGGGCCCAGGCGGCCGTCGCGAGGGCGTCGCAGGCCTCGCGGCGCCCGGCCGCGTCGCCGGCCGTCGCCGCGAGGGCCGCCGCGGCCCCCGCGAGCGTCGCGGCCGCCGGCGCGCCCGCGAGCGACGCGGTCGAGCGCGCGGCGGCGAGGAACGCGGCGACGGCCTCCGCGTCCGCGGCGGCGCGGGGCCAGCCCCGGGGCTCCGCGGACCAGCGCCAGAGCCGGTGCTTCTCCGCCGCGGCGAGGTCGACGCCCGCGGCCTCCGCGAGGACGCGGAGCGCCGCGGCCGCGCGGTCCTCGCGGAGCGCCGCGGCGCCGTCGCCGGCGAAGACCGCCGCCGTGGCCGCGCGGAGCCGCTTGCCCG